CCTCAGGGCTTGGTGGGCCAGGATGTGCTCCACTCTCTCTCTTTCCCTCTTTGTTTACACCTGTGTGCTCTGATCAGATGTGGCCCTCTTGCTGGGCTGTAGCTTCAGTGCTGTCCTCTGTAGTGCATTCTTCTGTGGGGTGAGGGGGTGTCCACGTAGTTGGGATTGGGGCTGGCCCACAGACCTCTCTATCGGTTCTCTGCTTCATGACACTATGTTGTATTCACGTCTTGGTGCACTAGGTTGAAGTCCAGTTCCTCACTCCCTTTCCTGTGCAGACATAAATAATACCCTCTGCTTGAGTGGATTAGATAGAGCCCTGTGCCCCCGCTACCCATGTCTTTTTCTCTCTATTTTCCCCTCCTTTTTAGTTGGCTGCCATTATGTATCTGTGGATTGGGTATGGCCCCTGCCATTGTACCTGGACCTCACCCTAGGAATGTATGTATATAGTAGCTTTTCTCTTATGCCCTGTTTGATTTTTTAACCTTACCTCAGTGGAATTGTGCTGTACTCGTCCTTTTGTTCTTGGCTTACTTCCCTTAGCATAATTTCCTCCAATTCCTCCCATGTGGCAATGTGCTTCATGCATTCATCACTGCTTTTCAGCATTATATGTATCTACCAGTTTTTAAATCCATTTTTCCATTGATGGAAATTTGCGTTGTTTCCAACTCCTTGTGATTTTGAACTGCGCAAAGATGAACATCGGAGCACAGATGTCTGGCCATTGTTTGTTTCTTGCCTCTTCTGGATATACGCCCAGTAGGGGGATTGCTGGGTCGAATGGTAGCTCAATTTCCATGTCTAGATATCGCCAAATCAATTTCTATAATGGCTGTACAGATCTACAGGTTCAGCAGTAGTGGACGAAGAGTTCCTATCTCACCACAGAACCCCCCACCCCAACACTTGTTACTGTCTTGATTTTTTGAATTGGGCTATCTTTGAGTGTTAGGTGTTATGTCATAGTTGTTTTAATTAGCATTTCTCTTATGGTTAATGATCAGGGACATTTTCTCATATGCTTATTGGCCATCCGGATATCTGCTCTTGTGAAACTTCTGTTCAGGCCTTTGCCCCCCTCCTCAGTGGGCAATTAGTTTTTTCCTTATTGTAAGGTAGCAGAGTATTATAGATTTTAGTAATAAAGCCTTTGTCTGATGTTTCATTGCCAAAGATGTTTTGTGGGCTTTTATTACTCTCATGGTTAATTCTTTCAATGTACACAGGTGTTTTATCTGCAGTATATACCAACTGTCAATTTGTGCCTCCTCTATATTTGTGTCCTTCCCTATTTCTGATAGCCTATGTATTCTCTGAGCCAAAGTTCTCAGGTTTGTCCCAATTCCCTCACTGATGACCCTAATAGTTTGTGGCTTTACCTCAAGGTCTGTAATCCACCTTGAGTTTATTCTTGTGCATGGAGTGAGGTAAGGATCTTGCTTCATTTTTCTGCAGATAGATGTCCATTTTTGCCAGCACCACTTTTTGAAGAGGACATCTGCATCTCATTTGATATTTTTGGGCCCTTATCGAAGATCAGTTGTTGGTATGCTGCCGATTTTATTTCTGGGTTTTCTTTTCCATTGGTCTGAGTATCTGTCATTATACCAATAGCACACTGTTTTGACCATTGTGGCTGTATAATAGGTGCTAAAATCAGGTAAAGGAAGCCCTCTCACTTTGAGATGGTAACCTTTTATGGGAATAGAAAGTCTGGTGTCTTTCTCGATAGAAGTGGCTGGGGGTTTTGAACTGCTGACTTTTCAGATTGCAGACCAACACATAACCACTGAGTTTCTGAGGCTGTAAACCTTTATGGGGGCAGAAAACATCATCTTTTGCCCTGGAGCACCTAGTGGGTTTAAACTGTACTCATTATGCCACAAAGGCTCCCATGAAAGACACAGCGGTTAGACTTTTCAACACACACACACACACACACACATACATATTTTATTATGTTTCATCATTTTTTTTCTTTTTAAAAAATCATTTTATTAGGGGCTCATACAACTCTTATCACAATCCATACATACATCAATTGTGTAAAGCACATTTGTACATTCATTGCCT